CAGTTTAAAATCTACTCTATAGTGGCAGCTGCCAAAGCATGGGGTACCTATGGCAAGGGAAAGCAGTTAAATGCTTCTGATAATAAAGCAGCATGCAACATTATAATTAATGGCAGATCCTCATCACTTACCATCATGAGACTTATGACGACTTACGTGGTTGGCTGCTACGCTGCAGTTTCACATTACTTGTATACACACCCCAGGACGCATCAATATAGCTGCTGACGCGTTGTCTCGTTCTAATTTGCAGGTTTGCTTCAGAGCCCAGCCAAGGTCAGTCCAATCAGCTCTCCCTCATATCAAGACCTAATCCTGGACTAGAGTGCCTCTTGGCACACAGCAGATACCTGGCCAGCTCTGCGCTCTCTACTAACACTTCACAGGCTTACAATAGATAATTCACTCTCTATACCAAATTCACGTTAGATTACCAGATTAGCCACATGTTCCCTAGACTCCATAGTGGTGCCCATTTCCTTTTGCTACCTTAACTTAAAGTTGTCACTAAACAACATAAGACTTTACCTCACAGGAATACAACATCACATCCTTAGTGCCTACATTATCACAAATCCTTTTAGGTCTACCTATCCCATTAAGAATATACTAAAAAGGCAGACGACGCTTGGACTAACCACCTACCACTACCAGACTGCCTATTGATGGAGTTACATTTCGTGCACTTTCAGACATTCTAGACACCAATCCATTTAAAACTAGCACTAATTGGTTAATTAAAATGGCAGCCTGTCCAACCTTCTATGGCTTCTTATGGCCAAATTAATTCACTAAAAACAACATCTCGTCTAATCACCTTCACCTGAAAATTATAAGACACGGATCATTACATACTTACTATTGATCATACTAAAGTATGCTATTATGCCAGTTAAAATACTGCACACATATTGTTCCATATTAGCCAGTTTTAACCCAAATACGCCATCACTCATTTTACATGGCAAACCTTTGACCACTACTAAATTCATATTCTACATCAGAACACTTCATTATTCGGTCTTGACCCCTTGGCTTTTTCTGGCCATTCCTTCTGGATTGGAGCTGCTTCCGAGGCATCAAGCCACAATGTCCCAGCTCATATAATAAAAAGGTTAGGACGATGGAAAGCAGCAGCATATACCAGTTATATACCACAGCCAGAACATGAATTGAGATTAGCATTTAAAGGTTTAGCTTTGTAACGTGTATGTCATAAAGGTTATTTGTTTACATCAACTTTTTGCCCTCTTTTATTACAGGCCTAGCACACCACAACTGACTGGTGCTTACTTCTAATTATATATTATTGTATTCATTATTATGGCTTGTGTCCCCGACTACAATTATAATATAGCTGCAGCATATTACACATTTTAGATTTGGTGTGCGCGTGTGTGTGTGTATACATATATAAAAATAGTTGTTGGTCGGCAGTTTAAAGATGCGTCTTTGGGTGAGCACCCTTTATTTCTTTTTATGAAAAACTCTTGGCCAATTAAAAGTCCAGTAACTACTGGAACTGCTATTAAAATTAAAAAAGACCTGATTCACATAAAAAAAAAACACACAAAGAAAAGTGACACATTAAAAATTAACCCTCTTTCACCTATGGAGAGCTCGGTGCAGAATTAGCTTGCAAGGCAAGAAAAGTCTTTATAAGGCTTTCCCACATAATGTCAACTCTGACAGACATTTTATTAGTGATTGGGTAGCGATAGCAGATGCTAACTGCTCCTGTTTAATAGACATGTCTCCACTCGTGGTATGGCAGCTGGAGGTATAAGGGAAGTATTAAACCTCCCTTATAGAAGTATGGGGATCATATTGACCTCCATATGCTTTATTTTTTTGATGCACATTTATTGACAGATTTATTTCAAGCAGAGCAGTCATTTTTCAAGTTTAGCTGCCTGAATTTTGGCTGGGATTAAATCTAGCCAAAAAATAATAAAGAAAATTGGCTAATTTATCGACTGATTTCAACAGATAGCATTTAATCAAGGCCATCGTTGAATCCAGCACTTGCTTGGGCTTCCAGTTATGTGTTTTTTTTTACTGGAAGATCATTTAAAACAGTTGTTTATATATTATATAATATTTAAAAAACTGTTTTAAATTATCTTCCAGCAAAAAAACAAACACATAACTGAAAAAAATATATATATTATTTATACACACATATACATATATACATATATACATATATATGTACACATATATATATATATATATACACACACACACATATATATATATATATATACACATACATACATACATACATACATACATATATATATATATACACACACACATATATACAGGGGCGTATTAGCCGCGAGGCAAACAAGGCATTTGCCTTGGGCGGCATTTTTCAGAGGGCGGCAAAAAACGCCGCCCCCCAAATGCCCAGGGCAAATGTCTTGTTAGCCTCGCGGCTAACTGACATTCTGGGCGCTGGGCGGCAGTGGCTGCAGCGCTGGGCGGGCAGGCGGCCGCCGAGGGAGCGCTTCCCCTGAGCGCTCTGCTCAGCTCCCTCGCGCGCCGCCAGCAGAGTGAGGCTGGGAGCCGGGTTGATGACGTCATATTCCGGCTCCCGGCCTCACTCTGCTGGCGGCGCGCGAGGGAGCTGAGCAGAGCAGAGCGCTCAGGGGAAGAGCTCCCTCGCCGGCCGGCCGCCCAACCGCCCTGCAGCCACTGGACCCCAGGGAGAGGAAGAACCCCCCCCAGCATTACCAAAGGTAAGGAGGCTGGGGGGGGTTAAATAAAAAATTTTTTTAAAAACACTAGTGAGTGTGTGTATGTCTGCTAGTGTGTGTGTGGATGTCTATTAGTGTGTATGTTAGTGTGTGTGTGTGTTAGTGTGTGTATGTTAGTGTGTGTGTGTGGATGTCTGTTAGTGTGTGTATGTTAGTGTGTCTGTTAGTGTGTGTCTGTTAGTGTGTGTATGTTAGTGTTTGTGTCTGTTAGTGTTAGTGTGTGTATGTTAGTGTGTGTATGTTAGTGTTAGTGTGTGTGTCTGTTAGTGTTAGTGTGTATGTTAATGTTAGTGTATGTATGTTAGTGTTAGTGTGTGTGTGTCTGTTAGTGTGGATGTCTGTTAGTGTGTGTGTTTGCCTGTGAGTGTGTGTGTCTGTTAGTGAGTGTGTGAGTGTGTGTCTGTTAGTGTGAGTGTGTATGTTAATGTTAGTGTATGTATGTTAGTGTTAGTGTGTGTGTCTGTTAGTGTTAGTGTGTGTGTTTGTTAGTGTTAGTGTTTGTGTATGTTAATGTTAGTGTATGTATATTAGTGTTAGTGTGTGTGTGTCTGTTAGTGTTAGTGTGTGTGTCTGTTAGTGTTAGTGTGTATGTTAATGTTAGTGTATGTATGTTAGTGTTAGTGTGTGTGTGTGTCTGTTAGTGTGGATGTCTGTTAGTGTGGATGTCTGTTAGTGTGTGTGTTTGCCTGTTAGTGTGTGTGTCTGTTAGTGAGTGTGTGAGTGTGTGTCTGTTAGTGAGTGTGTGTTTCTGTTAGCTAGTGAATGCGTATCTGTCAGTGAATGTGTGTGTGTGTGTGTATTTAGAAGGCGGAGCAGGGGGGAAGGTTGGGTGGCGGTTGCGCAGGTGGGGGTGGGGGGGGGGGGGGTGCCTGAGTTTTGTCCTGCCTAGGGCAGCACAAAATCAGGATACACCACTGCATACACATATATATATATATATATATATATATATATATATATATATATATAAAAATCTCCTTGTGTGTCTTCTAACGGATCAAAAAATTAAGTCAGTGTAGTCAATACTTTGTTTCTGAAAGTATTGTACAACATTATGGAATAGATAAAGGTACAGAACAACAATTAGTGTTTTAGCAGTGATAATAATGATAGTTTATTTAAGATAGAAAAGTTAATATTTGAATAAAACAAATATTTGCAAAATCAACAAGGAGTCTGTCTTACCATGGTTGGCATTAGTCATCATAGAACATTAGAACAAGGAGAAAACACAAGACAGCTGTTGATTCTGTTTGGATATGTTCAGTGTCCTATTAAAATAATTGGCAAAAGCTAGTTGAAATCAAATATGGCAAGCATCTATTCCAAAATACTAACACTATATAAAAAATGTTAGGCTCAGATCAATGATTGGATGGATGATCTGAACCTATTAAATCTGTTTTATGATTCAGATATTAAATGGGTTTTTTTTTTGTTTTGTTTTTTTATTAGTAACATTATATTTACACATTTTTGTGGATCTAAATAAGCCCCAAAAAGGGGTTGCTTACATTCTATAACCATAGACAACAGTAATTTTTCCCTACTACGATTTACTTGCAATACATATCTGGTTTTGCTTTGCTATTTTATTCTGATATGTAGCAAAATGTATAAATATAGGAACATGCTTGAAGTTATACGATACTTGTCAGAAAAAAAAATAATGGCTACACGGAACATCATGCTGACTTTAAGAGGTTAAAATAATCCTCTCAGTAGTTAGTAAGTAAAATTCTATTTTTTTAAATTGCATAGTTAAATGTTTTTATTGTTGTTATTTACTATGTTATTAAAACAGATCATCAAGTTCACAGTTTCCACACTTTTTTTTTTATATTCATAGACAAAATTCCACAAAATTCTAATATCTCAAAAGAAAAACAATAAAATACTTAACTAAAAGTAGTCAGAGTTCACTTGTAAATATTCTGGTGTTGGGAGTGAATCAATTGCAAAGCCAGGCCAGTAATTTACAGTTTTAAACTACAAGTAACACTGATATTTTGGATTAAAATTTTATTTGCAACATATTAATCTTGTCATGTTTGAATACAAATGGATAATATGTAGATATTGGTCTGTCAATTATCTGTATAATTCAACAAACACTGGGTCAGATATCTATCATGGCTGGAAAAACAAACAATAAATTCTTGTGGATTTTATGTACTTATGGAAAAGTGTTTTTTTTTCTTTTTATCAAAAACAACTAATAGTTTAAATGTGTTTCCCACAGGAGCAATATCATTATCAAACCTTCACAGTGATGGAATATGGTAAGTACACATGTCTTGATTTTACTTTCTTGATATTAATTAGGTTTTATGAAATTTTCATGAAGACTGTAGCTCATCAACAAAGATATGTGAGTTCCCATATCTGAATGAAATTGAACTAAGAATAGAAAAGAACATCAAAAAAGTACACAACGAGAACACTTTTTAGGTTTTCAATATTTACTTGACCTGTATCATACAACATGGTATAATGCAAAATAATAGAATGGCATTAAAATAACATTAGATGCAATACAATGTCAATTATTTCACATTCAGTATTAGAGTGGAATGGTTAAATATTTAGATGTGGGTTTGAGGTAGAGGGGCATATTTAATAATTAGGATTTACAACTAGCTGAATATGTTAAGGTTTGGTTAAAAAAAAAATATAGGAAGTGCATACTCATTTATTGATTATAGGTTTAGGAGAAGCTCATAAGGTAAGCTTTCTCAGTGCGTCATATAGGCTCCATTGTTACCTTTTGACAAGTGTGAGCACTATAATTTGCTTTTGAACAGCTGATGTTTGTGACCAGATATGGATGTGGATACACTGATCAGCCAGAACAATAAAATCACTGACAGAAGAAGTAAATAACATTGATTATATCTGTCAGGGTCTTACCTGAGGTGGGAGTCCAGTAGGCAGAGATTTGTGCTCACCCTTGCAGATATACACAGTCCAAAATGATAAGGTTAGAAACCATCAGGACTGTGAATCTGTGCATGGGGGCTGTGCATAAAAGGTGCTCCAATTTGCAGTACAGACAAGGACACAAGCAGAAGGATCGTCAAGGATAAATCGAAGTCAGAGGATGCCAGAGGTCAGGAGCCGGGGTCAATCTGGAGAACAAGTATCAGGAGACAAAACAGGAACAAAACACGATCATCGAATCAAAGAACTGACAATGTGCTCATGGAGAGGCAGGTTTAACTAACTTGCTAATGAGCTATGAGGTGGACATAAAGAGACAGGAGCAGCCACAGGTAAAGTCCAGCCCCATAGTGCTGCAGACAAGGCAGGATAGGACAACAGGCAGAAACATGAACTGAAGTGTGGCTCAGAGGCAAGACAGCAGGGTTAAGACAGCAAGAGTCCAGAATTCAAATCCTTTTTTTGGCACCTGTGAAATGGCCACGCCTGGATGTCACAGTGAGAACTATGACAATATCATTACAATGGCAACTATCAAGTTGTGGATTTTATTAGGCAGCAAGTGAACAGTCAATTTTTGAATTTCATGTGTTGGAAGCAAGAAAAATGGGCAAGCGAAAAGATCTGAGTGACTTTGACAAGGGCCAGACTACTGTGTCACATCATCTCTTGTGGGGTGTTCCCAGTATGCCGTGGTTAGTACCTACCAAAAGTGGTGCAAGGAAGGAATACTGGTAAACCAGTGTTATGGGCGCCAACGGCTCATTAATGCACGAGGGAGCGAAAGCAAGTCATCTGGTCCGATCCCATAGAAGAGCTACTGTACCTCAAATTTCTGAAAAACATAACAGTGTCCATGATAGAAAGGTGTCATAGCACACAGTGAATCACAATTTGCTGCATATGAGCAGACTGGTTAGATGCCTATGATGACCCCTTTTCACTTCAGTGAGGAAATGAGAGTCAGAAACAATGGATGAAGGTTGCCTGGTTTGACAAATCACATTTTTTTTAGATCAGGGCAATGGCCAGATTCATGACATCATTTACTTTGGGAAGAGATAGCAGCAGGATGCACTTTGGGAAAAAGGCAGGCTGACAGAAGTAGTGTTATGCTCTGGGCAATGTTCTGCTAGCAAACATTGGGTCCTGGCAGTCATGTGGATGGTAATTTGACACATACCACCTACCTACAGACTATGTGCACCGCTTCACGGCAATAGTGTTCCCTCATGAATTTTATTTCTTAATGTACCCAATTCATCATCTGATTTGCCTTTTTTCTGAAATGTATATATTAAGTGGGACAAAAGGCTTCTGACAACTAACCATCTTAATGAAAATGCATATTTTGGCATGTATGATATTTTATGAGCAGACAAATGGGCAGAGGGCAAAGGTTATTTGCATGTGTGCATTTGCGACATCATAGATTTATTGTCTGGCCATGTGTAATGCACTATTTCCTCCCATAGTATTGCCAAGGTTTGAAGTTCTTCTGAGCACACCTGTACACCATTCAATAACAAGTGGACCAATGGTTGGAACAGTTACTGCAAAGTGAGTTTTGTTTGTTATTATTATTATTGTTATTATTATTATGTTATTTATATAGTGCCATCAAATTACGCAGCGCTTTACAATGGGTGGACGAACAGACATGTAGTTGTAACCAGACAAGTTGGACACACAGGAACAGAGGGGTTGAGGACCCTGCTCAATGAGCTTACATGCTAGAGGGAGTGGGGTAAAATGACACAAAAAGGTAAGGATAGTATTAGACTAGTGACAGTTGCAGAAGAGGAATCAGTCAGGAGCTATTAACAATTTAATTGATATGCTTTTATAAAGAAGTGGGTTTTTAATGATTTTTTGAAGGAGTGGAGACTGGGTGAGCATCTAACAAGTATTAACTTATTATAAGTATTAACTTATTATTAAGCATTAAGTTATAACTTACAAGTATGTTGTTCTAGCTTGTGAAGTTACAGACCTCCCAGTGTTGCTATTTAGGAGTGACAGACCCTGTTTTGGACCCAAATCCATCTAGTCCTCTTTTTTATTCTAATTCCCCTCTTCTCTAGGAGCAATATAATGTTGGTGTGCCTGAGCTCCACAGCAATATTTTTTTTACAGTAACCAGTAACCATCTTTAAGCTACATTAAATATGTTCTTGTTATAAACTGCATTTTAGTTGCATAAATTGTTATTAGGTCAGCTAAAATTTCTCAGAACAGCCCCACTCACACCCCTAAAATCAGTGTCTCCTTTGTCCATTTGAAATGTTGGGTGGTATGAAGTTATGATAGATCTCCACAAGCGCAGTCTGCTAAAGCAGCTGCTGAATCTATCTAAATCTATTTAGGAGGGCTGTCCCTGTTTTGGGCCCAAATCACTCCCTTTTCTTGGAACTCTGTTTTGTTTATGTGTCTGAGTGTGCAACAAAGCTTCACAGCAATAATACTCTCAGAAATGTGTCTCTATACCAATATAAATGTGTTTCGAAATCAGTCTGTGTAAATAACATGCATTACTCTTGTTCTAATTACATTTTAGTTGCATAAGTTATTAGTAAGTCACTTACAATTTCTTAGAACAGCCTTGCCACTTAGCACGTGCCCAGTGTCGCTTCTATATGTCTGTTTGTCAGTCCTCCGTCCGTCGGTCCATCCTAGAAATTTGTGTAACTATTCTAAAATAGTTTTTTCCATAACTCACTTCAAACATCATGCAAAAAGCAGACATTACTTTAGATTTAAGGTTCATTAAAAATGTAGTTAGTTTTGTGCTTTGTAGTTTAAAGTGGGCATCTCTATGGGAAATGATACCTTCATTGAGTCTTTAAGAAAGATGTGGATGGAAGAGACAGTCAGGGCAGAAGTGTTTGTGTGACCAATATGAAACATATCCTCTGGTTATTCCACAAATATGGGCTATATTTACCAGTGGAGCAAAATCCTGTGTAGATAAACTACACATATTGACTACTAAAGTGTACATTCATGCTATTTTTTGGTGATTGATTATAGGTATACTTATGGAATGTCAGTGAAAGGAACTCTGTCCGTAACAGTAACAGCAAATCACAGGAGGAAAAATAGTATTACCAAACTGTTTGAGGTAAGCAAAGACATTGATCATAACAGCTACAGTGAGAGAATGAGGGACAAAGAAATCTAATTGTACCTTGACTATTCTTGTAAGGTTATATATGTGTGTAGTGTCTTTATGTTTGTAAACAGGAGTGTTTATGTATGGATCAGGTGTGTCAATTTATGGGTAGTGCTTGCATTTGAATAGAGGGGTGTGTTTTTATGTAATGTTGGCATTTGAATGAAGGGATGTGTTTGTATGTAGTTGATTATGTAGTTGTGTTGAATTGTAGGTGTGTTTTTATATGGAAACAAATATAAAAGTCAAACAAAACACGCTATTTTAAAAATGCATTTACTAAAATGTTCACAAGTATTTCCTAAGCTACATTTCAATAGTGGTATAATAGTAGCACTTGATGAGGATGCTCTCTTTTTTTCCTGGCACTTACTTGTTAATGCTGGACAGTGTCCAATCAAATGCTTTTTCATAGAGGAGCAGATAAAACAAATCTCCAGTACTCCAAATCTCAATAATTCTCAAAGAAATGGGTGAATTTAAGATTAACACGGTTATTTACTAAAGGGAGAATTCAAGGTTAATTCAAAGTAAATTCAATTTTTTACATTTTTTTTTATAATTCATTATTTTTGTTGTGCATCAGAATACATATACGCTTAGAGTGCCACAAGAGCAACAATAAGCACAATAAACTCATGAATAAGCATAACAAATGTGTGACAATCGATTAAACCGCACAACATTTTAAAGCAGGAAGGAGCGCAGAAAGCATGGTATCGGATAATGGCAGATAAAGAGTCTCTGTAGGCAGAGGTCTGTGTAGCTGCTGTGAGTGTTTGGGGATAAGCTCCGTTGCAGCGTGCTTGGAAGGAGTGCATTAGCCATTTTTAGTTGTAGGGCTTAGCCCCGATAACAGATGAAATGTGTTGGCATATGCATCAAAAGTGGTTGGCAGCATACCAGTGGGGACCAGGATGACCCCCACTGATCAAAAGGGGGGTAGGAGTTCGGCAAGGCTACTCACTGAATAGACTAATGAGAGTAGCGTCCCCCTCCTCCCAACTCCAGTTCAGGTAGGCCACAATGCAGCATTTTGAGCACCCACAATGTGGATAGAGCACTGTATTGAATATTGTAGCTTATGAGTGTCTGGAAGCACCCTGATCCTAATGATGCGGACTGTAGGTCATGCTGTTTCCGACCGAATAACTCGAAGGTCAAGCTATGCCCCACGGCAGTTTCAAATTCAAGGTAAAAAAGGCTGAAATGGAAACATTCTGTAAGTCAGCTTTGTTTCCAGTTCGAATATGTTGGTTTTAAATGTGAAATTTGCTTAACTTTTTATTTAAGTGTAGATGAAGTTCTGTTTGTTTCAACATTTCTTTAAGTGGCATGTATAATTATCCAACAAATGTCATATGATTTGAGTGTTATATTAAGAACATTTTCTGCATATTTTGTTTAACTACAGATAAATGGAGAATCAAAGTTTAGCTTTAGTTCGTTAGAATTGAAAGAACTTATGATGAACAGACAAAGAGCACATGACTCTGACTCCTCTGTTACTGGACCACTGGACATTAACGTCAGTGTCAAAGAAGCACTTACAGGTAATTTGTAGCATATCCCTGAAAGCACTAATATTAAATCAATTATAAGATTTACTGTATTTGTATAATTAACTGTAGGTTTTGAACAGAAACATTTTGCTGATGGATCCATTGAATCACATCAGCTGTCTTTCTTCAAGGATATCTCAACGTCCATGGGGCTTTTCTGTCAAATGGTACAGTAGGGGGACAAGATATGACATACAAATGGGGTCCCATGTGCTTTCTCGTGTTTACACATTAGGCCAGGGACACATCTTTCATGGTGTTTCTTAGGTACCTACTTTCCTGATGGCACTCTGGGAGTTTTAACAGTTTCTTGTAAAGCAGCTGTGAAAATGCACCATAAACTCTGAAGAAGGTGGTTATGACTTCAACTGCTGCCACCTTTGTTTTACCATAAATTGCCTCTTAATTTATAGATAACCTGGTGCTGCCCCTGGAACTGACTTTTCAATTTAATGATGGTAGAGGTCCCCAATCTGAATATTTCATTACCAACATAGCCTTGATTCCTACACTAGGGAATGAAGATACCCATGTAGTCAACTTCAGACCTATTTCTTTAATTATTTGTACTTAAAAGTGTTTGCTAAAATACTGGCGGAGAGGTGGAATCTGCTGTTTAGGCTTCATTTCAGGGAGACAACTCTATGAGAAATACAGACTTTATGTGGTGCTTGGTTGACTGTGAGGTGCCTTCTCTGGTCCTTTCTCTTTATACGGACAAGCCTATCAACAGGATTAAGCAGCAATACCTTTTTGAACTTTTACCCCACGTAGAATTTCCCACTGCCTTTGTTACAGTGCCTTGTAAATAAATGTATGTGCCCAAATTGCAGGCTCTAAACCCATGCTATTCACAACTGGGAATGGAGCTAGGTAGGATTGTCCCCTGTCACTCTTTGCCATGACTCTTGAGCTGCTTTTAAACACCATACATAACTGGCCTGTGATATCTGGGGTTAAAATTGCAGGCACTACTTGCACAGTATCTGCACATGCAGTTGACTTGCTACTTACCAGCACAGTGCCCTCCATGTATTGTTTGGACTTTGTTCTAGACAGAAAAAAGGGGAAGTGGGGGTCACACCCTGAATATGCATTTTTTATTAGTTGTGCTACTGTAAAGACCAAAATGTTTACAAAATACAAATTAGGAAACAGCAAACACACACAAAAAAATACTACATCACAGTACCCCAATATAAGTGGGTCCTACTCTAATTTTAAAACAGGAGATTAACTTGCTAACTGCAATACTTACATTTTAAACTGCTTCCTTAGACCCTTCTCAAATTGATGATTTCCTGTGATGACCTCCAAAAGGGTATCTCTAGTGGAAGTGTGGGGGGCTCCACTCAAAAGGAATCTGGTCTAGATTCCAAATATACATAGGAAAAAGGGAAATTGGGCAGCACACCCGAAAAATGCATTTCTCAGTATAGGTGCTGCTGTAAAGAAACAGGGCACAAACACAATTACAATTTTACATTTTGCAAGGGTCTAGACAGATTTAAAGATCTTAACCAATTCTTTTGTAATGCCAGTACATGTCCCGGTTGCAGATGCAGCACTCATTGGATCATCCTACCGCTTACACATGACTCACTTCGATAATTGGAGATTAACATTATTGCTGACTCCTCCAAGCTCTATGAGAGAAATTATCTGATACCTGATAAGAGATCAAATAACTGCATTGACAAAACCATATCATGGATCGGGCAATACATGTTGTAAAAGTGAGCATCCTTCGCAGAATTTTGTTTTTAATTCAATCTCATCCAGTCCCAGTCAATAAAAGAGATCACACCAATTTTCAGGTTGCTATTGATAGTTTTGTATGACAAAATAAATTACGTAGAATTGCATATAGTGTTCTGTAAAGATCAAAACCTGTAGGTGGCCTGCGTCTCTTTCTATATTATCTCTATATTATCTCTCAGTCAAGTTGTCCCAGATCACACACTCCTCCGGAACAAAAGAGATGACTGTACCTAGAATCCCTTCTTGTGTATGCTGACTTCACCCAATTCTACATCTAGATCTGTGAGGTGAAATTACGCGTTATTAGGAGTTTTCAGATGCAACATTTAAAGGTGAAATGTAGCAAGTGATTATAGCCTTTACCTGACATCAGGAGTCAAGACTACATATCCACTGTAAGATTTAAGTTTAACATTTGATGTCAGTTTTGATAATATGACTGTATAATTCACACTTTTATTGACAATTGCTTAATTGTTTGAAACCGACACCACGGTGCCCCAACATATAGACTATCCAAGCTAAATAGGAACTGGTGCCAAAAGTCCTCTGATTCCTCTACTTCAGGTGGTGGGATCGTTGTCCCATATCACTTAGGTCTCCCTGAGGATTCAGATGGCAGACTGCAAAAAACTTCCTTCTGTGTTCCAGGCTCAGAGGGAAAATGTTGGGCCAAGTGTGAGGGTGTGGGCACAATTGCTTATACGGTAACAGAATCTTTGGTAGATAGCTTCATATTGTGTGAGAAAAGCTGCTCTCCATCTCTGGCTTGCTGTACCATCTGTTTTGTGCGAGGGAGCTAATGAGGCAGCCATCTTGGTTAAGCCATATGGTTTCTATGCACCCCAGCAAAAGCATAAAGCGGGGAGTTTTGGAGGTTTCCACAGTGAGGACCTTCTGCCTCACCAGAGGGTATAACTCCCGCGGGTCCAGAGGGTAGGTGACAGGGCACTCTTCGGAAGCTTCAATCATCAGCTCGCTCTGAGTCAGGAGGTCCGCTGCTTCTTCCATCCACAGAGTCGTCAATTTGACTAGGCCACCTAAACTTAAGTGATAGGTTCCCCTATCCAGGCACAAAAGGGTTGTAGGTGGTTCTTAGCTAGGTTTTCTGCCATTCAGTGCCTGTGCACCAGGTGATTTTCAGCTGTGAGTTGTCAAATTTGTTTGAATATGGAAGAGCTGCAGAATAGTGTGTCCATCTTTTTTTGCCTGTCTGGCCCTGCTGCCTAAATGTTGCTTGTATAAATAAATAGCTTGCAACTTCTCTGGAAAGACTGATAAATTGGATGAAAGTTGATATAGAATTCTTAGATAATGGAGAGTGATTTCTGTTATCTAGTGATTTAGAACACATGGATATTTCATATTGTTTTTATTATAAAGTTGGACTTTTAACATTTAGGTGCAAACAAAAGAGCAATTCTATCTAGAAACTTAAGGCCAATTATGTACTTAGAACATTGACAGTATCTTTCCCATATTAAATATTTCCAAAGAGAACACTATAATTTACATTCCGATAGAAAGTTGACTTTGATGAGTCACAGTCCATGTTAGCAAAGTAGCCTATTTTATGAGTGATGTAATTAAAATATTTCTAAAAAAAAAAAAAAATTCTATTATATCTGGTAACTATAAAATTGAAGAAATGCAATTTTACTAGACATGTGACAACTCCTGATATTTCTGCACTTAAAGGTTAGTGTATTGCAAATTCGTAACATAACATAAAAAAATTTGTGTATTCCCAAAATCTGATTCTTTTAAGAAGCTAAAATGTTAACATACGGAAGATAGTCTGTTGAAAACAGCCTCACCAATATCATCTTTTCACAAGAACACAGAAGGTTTTGTGAAACTGTGTGCATGGATGATACACTGATTTTTTTCCATTGTTTATATACACTGATTATATTGTTACAATGTCACCTGTTAATGGATGAGATATATTTGGCAGCAAGTGAGCAGTCAGTTCTTGAAAATCATTTGTTGGTAGCAGGGGAAATGGGCAAGTGAAAAGATCTGAATGAGTTTGTCAAGGGCCAAATAGTGATGGTTTGACAACTGGGTCACAGTATTTCCAAAACAACAAGTCTTGTGGAGTGTTCCCAGTATGCAGTGGTTGGTACCTACCAAAAGTAGTGCAAGGAAGGACAACAGTTGTACCGGTGTCAGGGTCATGGGAGCCCAAGGCTCATTGATGCATGTGGAAAACAAAGTGATCACACAGAAGAGCTACTGTAGCTCAAATTGCTGAAAAACTTAATGCTGGCCATGATAGAAAGGTGTCAGAACACACACACAGTGCATCGCAGTTAGCTACCTATGAGGCTGTGTAGCCACAGACTGGTCAGAGTGGACATGATGACCCCTGTTCACCTCCGAAAGCACCTTCAATGGGGACAATGAAAGAACAATGATTTGCAGATGTGCATTCCAGCAGATGCATTCATTTCCGAATTTTGGTAAAACTGTTGCTTTGTAATTATTCCAAATCCTATACTTTGTATAGAAATTGGAAGCAAAACCACTGATTTTAATCCAGACAATAAATGCTTCTGGGCAGTTGCTGCAGATTCGGGGTGGCTGAGTCCTGACTATATTTGGCATCATTAAATAATAGAATTGCCATTGCAGTCAGCATTCAGTAAGTTCATTGAATAGCTCTTTATAGTAAAAACATTTTTCATTCACCTGGTGTCTCCTGAAAGAGATGTAACTTGAGAAAGAGATATAACTTGATGCTTGCAGGCTGGGCCTGTGAAGGAATTTGGTGGATTCAAGGCAGGAATTGGTGAACTTCAATTTGTGGAAGCACATACCTGTGCTTTTAAAATAATGAAAACAAATCTCCCATATATTGAAGGCAAATATATTAAGGGAAGCTTAGAACACAAATACAAATATTTTTAACCATGCAAATATTTGTATCCATATGTGCAAGGGTGAATATATTTGCACTATAGGCTTAAACACAGCTTTATTATAATCATGGTGCAAGCAGGGGGAGGAGCCTGACCTTAAAGCCGACCAGACGTGGGAAGCCAGAGCTCCTGCATTAAAAGCCAGTATTTAGGGTATTATACCCGATTTTGGGGCTTCCACGTCCATCATCCCGCACACTGAAGGTCAGAGGACCCTGGGCCAGCTAATCGCTAACTTATTCCAGCACTCACTCACCCGGGAGCCTTGCTGCAGCCTACCTGGGACGAGACTGAGGGGTACGCAGCCGATCCACCCGTGCTCAAACCCAGGGCCTGACCCCGTGGCACTCTTACCCCCCCCCCCCCAGACCAGTGGGGGTCCCAACAGAACTCACAAGAATGACCAGCATGGGCACTTGCCACTCAGAAAAGATCGCTGTGCAGGAACCCCGACCCCGCAAGATGGTGGCG